GTTGTCGGTTTTACTATGTTTTGGGGGAGAATACAAGTTGGTTTTGTGTTATATCTAAGTATTTATGCATGCTTTTGTGTATTTTCATTATATGTTGTGTAAATATGATATGAATATGTGTAAAACCCTCATAACCTTGATATCTCCTTCAAGATTTGAAGATATTAGCAAAACAGGTTACTTTATGTAACTCATTTTGGTAGCTGAAAGGATAAAACATGTTAAGGGATACTTGAAAAGTAAATAAAACCTCATGAAGGGTCAAATTTGAAAAATAAGCAAAAAGTGAGCCTTGTTATGAGATTCATGGTTTTAAAGGGGCCAAAAGTGTCATTTTGGATTAAAAATGGATTTTATGACATTTGCGGTGTTTTGGGGGTCAAAAGCATTATTTTTTACAAAATGGGCTTCTTTTGGGCCTTCACGGTTTTAATTGGCAAAAATGGTCATTTTTCATAAAAAGGGGCCTTATTTGGAAATTCATGGTTTCATGGGCTTAAAATGTAAATTTTTGGCCTTAATGGACTTAAAATGTCATTTTTATTAAAAATGGGCATTTAATTGTAAACTTTCAGTCATAGTGGGCCTAAAGTGTCATTTTTATCAAAAATGGACCTCTAATATAAATTCTCGATTTAATGGGCCGAAAATTTCATTTTTATCAAAGTGGGCCTCAAATACCTATTTACATGTTTATTGGGCCTTAAATGTTTATTTACATGTTTATTGTGCCTCAATTACCCATTTACATATTTATTGGGCATTATATATTCAATTAAATGCTTATTGGGCATTGTATATCCATTTCATGTTTATTGAGCCTTAAACACCTATTTACATTCTTATTGGGCCTTGTATATTAATTTCATGTTTATTGGGCCTTAAACACCTATTTACATGCTTATTGGGTCTTACGACACATTTTATACCAATCGGGTTAATAACATTAAATACTTGACATTTTGATAAAAACAAATGGAATTTTATCACCAAGGTTTTGTAATCAAACACATACTCGAAACATTATTTTAAAGCGGTAAATAATATGATGTCTGTTCGCGTAATTTTAGTCAAGGCTCGTGTAAGACGCGTTTTCACCCGTATATACCTAGTGTAAAACCTTAAGTCCTGTAGTTATAACCAGAGTCTCCTGGAGGAAGAGCGAGAGTTTGTGTAGACAACCCCACACCTGAGCTGTTCGCTACAGCTAGACTAAGCCAGTCTAGGGTGACAAATGTCTTACCTTAAACAAGCGATATCTGAAGAATGTCATGACAGGAAGATCAGTCATATCAAACATGGTTATAACGACTCACATAGAGATTAACAAACACTTTAAAATTTATGAAATACATATACAATACTTTGATTACACGTACGAGCTATTCATTTCTACAACACCCGGTCTTATGTTTTAAAGACTAGAGCTCTTTTACAGACAGAAAATATCAGATTTTCTTGGAAACAAACATTGTACATTACATTTTACTTGCAACAGGAAATATAAAATTTTCTGAAATTCTCTCTTTATACGTTTTCAAAAATATGAACACACATGCTATAATACAATATTTTAAACAAAACACTCAAACCATTTTTATGGAAAATATCGGATTTTATGGTGTTTACGAATGATACAAAACTTTTCATACAAACATGCTTATGAACTCACCAACATTATATATGTTGACGTTTTCAAAATAACTTGTATTCTCATGGAATTGTTAAGCAGATTGATCATCAAAAACACGTGGATTTTTGTTGTATTTTTTTGGTATCATCATATATTTAACATTTGGAATGTAATTTGTAAAACAATACACTTATGTAAACTATGATGGTTGTTATATTTCACGTGTGATGATGATGTTGTCTTTGATTCAACTATATACACTGTGATGATATTACAAGACGAAGTCACCCGCCCCCGGACGTTTTCGTCGTTCTGGTTCGGGGGTGTGATACTAGTAGTCTAAACTATTTGGACAATTTTTCCAGAAAGTAATTTATAATGATTATTCTGTAAATTTTGTCATTCTTATCCAAGTATGGATCGATGAGTATAAAAACTTAATTCAAAATATATGGATCTTGCATAATCAAATCATATAAAATTAAGAAACGTTTTTTTCCCCCTTAATAATAAGTTAAATCTAAGAGTGCTCTTCACATATTATATCATATTGGTTTTTCGGTAACCCATTGTAGAGGAGAAATATCAACATGGAAAATGAATCCATATGATCTTTGAAACAAATCAGATTCATTTTTTTTTTTGAAACGGCAAATCTAACCTACTCCTAAACTACACCTTAAATCCACCTATGTCAACGACGGGACTTGAACCCTCAACCTCAAGTAGGGAGGGCAACACCGGATACCGCTGGGCTACAAGCCCTTTGGTGAAACAAATCAGATTCATGTTTATTGATATTCAAAGTTGGGATAATGACTTAAGAGTGTAACGTATTTTAGCTTTCGATAACATTTAGTCACTAAACTTTTTTTCGTGATGTGTTAACCCTTGAACTTGTTGAAACGTGTAAATGTTACCCTTGTGACCACTTTTAGCCGGTTATAAGAGTAAAATATGAACAATTTCAAATAATTAAAGGGTAAATCAAGCACAAAAAAAATTTAATGACTAAATGTGAACAAACTTAAAAATTTATTACATTTTCAAGTCATTCTCCCACGAATGGTTCTAAATGTTATTAAGGATAAACACAAGTAGGATATGGGAGTCACAAAAGTGAGGATGTTGTACTAATCCTGTGATATACCTTTATTGTATAAGGTATCAGGCACAACACTTAGAAATGTAGTAGGAGCGACTTTAATCACAAAGAAACTGAAGGAAAAAAATATGGTGATTTCAGACATATATTTAGGACATAGGTGACGGTTTTCATTCCAGAAGGTGGAGATGGTCGTTATAGATCGTGCAAGGAAGAGAGAACATATACTTAGGACATAGGCGACGGTTTCACTCTAAAAGATGGACACGGTCATTGTAAAGATAATACGATGTTAGATTCAAATGAGATTTTTCTCTTTACAAGGACATGAGGTTTGATTAAAGAAAAACCTCATTTAAATCTAACATCATATTATCTTCACAACGACAGTCTCTATCTTCTCGAGTGAAAATTGTTGCCTATGTCCTAAGTATATGTTATCCCTTCCTCGTACGACCTACAACGACCGTCTCCACCTTTTGGAGTGAAAACTATCACATATGTCTTAAATATATGTCTGAAATCACCATGTTTTTTTTCCTTCAGTTTCTTTGTGATTGAAGCCGCTCCTACTGTATTTCTAAGTATTGTTTCTGATACCTTATACAATACAGATATATCACACAATTACTACAACATCCTCACTTTTGTGACCTCCATATCCCGCTTGTGTTCATCCTTATTAACATTTAGAACAATTTATAAGATAATGACTTGAAAGGGTATCAAACTTTTAATTTTGTTCATATTTAGTCATTGAATTTTTTTCATGCTTGATTTACAATTGAATTATTTGAAATTGTTCACATTTTACCCTTATGACCGGCTAAAAGCGATCATAAGGGTAACAATTACACGTTTCAACAAGTTTAAGGATTAATACATCATGAAAAAAAATCAGTGACCAAATGTGATCAAAAGTTAAAATATGTTACCCTCTCAAGTTATTATCCCTTCTAAGTTTTGTATTTCTAATTTTCAAACAAAAACTACGTTGATTTGACTATTCGAAGAATCTTCCCCGATCGGAGTGGACAGTATAAAATAGATAACTTTGGTCACTTTCTAACAACTTGCTAATTTCAACCCCTTTAATTTTTTAGCCGTTTTGACACTTTTGGTCCTTACAGTCTAAACTTTTATATTTTTTCATAAAAAACACAAAAAATGGCTCGGGACAATGTCCGAATTTGTCCTCATATTTATTTATTTTTTTTGTTTTTTCCTGTGCTTTGCACTTTTTGTCGTCTTCCATTTTCTTATTTTTGTATATTTTTTTATATATCGGTCCACATATTTTTTTTTTTGTTTTTTTTCCTACCTCCATCTATTGTCTCTGTCTGTAAAAATTAGGGGTCAAATTATCCCACATGTATCTTTACCAAAAATGACACTCACATCAGACGCACACGGTCTATTTCCGCATGGGCAATAAAAATGGCAACGGGGGTAGGTATTACATGGAACCCCAATCCCTATCTATATCCCCATTCTCGAATCCTCATTCCAATCCTCATTAAACCCCCATCACCACCCCTACGGGGATTGAGGATCCTCAGTGGGGAATCGATGATTTATTTTTCTCTTTTAATATGAAAATTTTTATGTAAGAAAAACTGTAAATTTCAATTTTACCATCATAATTTAAAGATTTTACTAACTATAAAAGTATCCATAGATTGTATAAAAAATATAAATAAATTTTCTACTAAATTTAAATACATACATGAAAAATCAAGTAGAAAACAATTATTAGAGTGATATTTGAGGTAAAATAGAAAAACAAAATATAAAAAGTACACATGAGTTTAAATTATATATATATATATATATATATATATATATTATATATATATATATATATATATATAATTTCAAACAAGTAATTATTAATGAATTATGTTACTTGAATCAAATTTCATATATTATAAATTATACTATAAATATATGTTTTATATTACTTTTATATATTAATATAAATTAGGAGCGGATCCAACGTCAAGTATCTCCATCCCATTTTTTTTATTCGGGGATTCTCATCCCCGTCCCCATCCCCGGTTAATTTGGGGATTCCCAGTCAACACGCATCGGGTATGGTTTTTTGCCATCCTATTGGACAACATTAGTTATTATTATTATTATTATTATTATTATTATTATTATTATTAATTTTAGTTTGAAAAATGAAAAATGATCGAATGGCAAAAAGGTAATAAACTAGTGGTTTGGGGAAGGGAAATTTGGGCCTCACCGACTACGTAATAGAAAAATGAGCGTTTCGTTGGCAGGAAGAAAGCAAGTCTTAAATAGGTCGAACGACCGAGAGGGGATCACAATAATATCATCGCCCCACCCCAATCCCCCAAAAAAATCAAAAATCAAACATCTTCAATATCTCTCCTTCCTCATCTATCGCCTTTTTCAACCATCTCATCGATTAATTTACTCAATTACAGGTAAATTTGATTTCTTTTTCCCATATTGTTTTTCAATCGAATGATATTTGTTTGAATTTTGCGACATGAATTCGCCATCGAGATCGATATAAATCTTCTGTGTTTCGTGTGTTTGTATTTATCTTTTGCAGTATAGATCGGTCTTGGCCATCGATGTTTGATAGTTGTGATGATTTTGAAATCAATTCCGCCTAATTTTGACGATAATTAGGGTTTCCTTCAATTTCTTTTAATTGCTCGTTTTTTTTTTTTTTTTTTTTATCCCAATTCTGGTGATGCTTTCGTGTCGTGAAAGCTATGTATGAACCATGTATGTATTCACTTTCTAAGTAATGATGGTGTTGTGTTATGCACCCTGGTTTTCATAGGTAATTTAGAAAGGTAGATAGTATGTAAAATCGCACATGATGATAACTATTTGGGGTTTTATCTTCTATTGTTCATAAGAATCTGGATGTGTGTTCAATCATTTATTCACCGCATTATTTGTTTGATTCGACTGTATCCTTGTGGTAATAGCTTATTGTCCAATATCCACTTTATCTTGCGCTGTTTTTCTCATCTTCTCAATTTCCATTTCAATTTAGCTTCTAAACGATTTGATATGGTAAATAGAACCCATGATCATGATGATGTATGATTGTATGATGTTATGCAGTGAATTTTGACAGATGGAATCAACAAAAGAAACAGGATGCCAGGCTCCAGAGGGCCCAATCCTCTGCATCAACAACTGTGGGTTCTTTGGTAGTGCAGCCACCATGAACATGTGTTCCAAATGCCACAAGGAGATGATATTGAAGCAGGAAAACGCCAAGCTTGCAGCTTCATCTTTTGACAACATCGTCAACGGCGGTGGTGGGAACGACACCACCGGAAAAGATGCGGTGGCGGTGGCTACCGACGCCATGAAAGCCGCCACCGCCCAGTCAGCAGCAGCAGCAGCTCAGGTGGAGTTAAACGTGGTCCCCATGAAAGCACAAGCGGACTCTTCTTCTTCCTCAAGTGAAGTAGTCCCGGAGGTGAAAGTGGGTCCCAGTAGATGCGCCACATGTCGGAAGCGTGTTGGTCTGACAGGATTCAACTGCAAATGTGGTAATTTGTTTTGTTCTGCTCATCGTTACTCTGATAAACATGAATGTCCTTTTGATTACCGGGGTGCGGGTCGCGATGCAATTGCAAAGGCGAATCCTGTTGTGAAAGCTGAGAAGCTTGATAAGATATGAATATGATGAAGAATGAAAGGAAAAAAGGAAAAAGGTTGTGTTTCTCTATGATATGGTATCTGAAAGTATGATATGGTATTGGTTACAAGTACTGAAAAGTCTTTTATGTCTTCTCCTCCTCCTCATGGGTAATGTCTTGTCTGGTTGGTATGAAATGTAGGTGGGGCCCTGGTCGATTTGTTTGAAAAAAAATTTGAAATTAGGGAAGCCAGGAAGACACAGGGTCTCACCATTGTTGCCAGTGTTATGAACATTCTTATTCTGCTTGTTTGTTCCATTGTGTGTGTGTGTGTGTAATGGCTTGATGCATAGATATAGGTCAATTTGTGTTTATCTGTAATTTGGTCCTCATTCTTCATCTTCTGCTGAGGTGTCATGTCAAATGGGGGCAGTTTTTTGGGGTTGGGTTGTTTCTGTGTTGTTTGGTTGACCAAGTGTTGACTTATAGAGACTTGAGATAACTGGCCTTCATATATGCATGCATACATGAGAATATCAAGTATGACTTAACTATAACTACTACAAATCAATTAACACATTTAACATTGTTAAATTCATCCCAAAGGGTTCCACTCGTCTATACTCCATCTAAGGTTTCAAGTACCATATGTGAATTCCATGGATTTGGCATTTCTAATCATTTCGTTAGTTTAAATAAGACTTCAACACATAAGATGACACAAACCATATTATCATCATAAAGTTCACTTGTTTAAATAAAAAAAGCTTTATTAGTATGCATTTCACCTTATTCATAGCAAAAAAACATGATCTCCATCTTTAACATCATATAGAAGGTAATGAAAAGTTTACCTTTGTGTGATTATCAATCCAACGTTCAATCTCTTCAAAGATGTATTTAGGAATTTTCTTTTTATTTCTAAATTTATTTAGACGATGTACTTTAATTTCCAACTACTTCTTTTCACAATGTATTCAAGAAATGGTTTTAATTGTATATGGTTTGTTACCATAGAACATTGATATGCATTGTGTACAAAATATGATTACGTTAAATGTTCGATCACCATCTTTCCATGACATTAACCTCATTTACATACCTTTCTAGCTTTTGTTTAAATTTTAAGAGCTCACAAAACCCCTTTGACGATCAAAGTACATCTTTCAGTAAATCATTTGGTTTTGGTAACATACTTTATACAAATGGTTAAATGGACTACTAGACTTTTAGCTGTTGTTCAAATACACCTTACACATCATGTTATGTTCTTCTAAAATCATCTCACACATTCCTTTTTAATTACTTAATCCTTTAAAACTTAGAACTACATGTATGCTTAACTGTTTATTTAGGCATTATAATTTATTTTTCTTGCAAATCAAGGGAACCATCAGATAATCATATCCCCAAACAGTCCAAAGACGTTTTAGAGCACTAATAACAAACAACACAACTGACTAACTCTTAGGTTATAACATCTACTTATACCCTATTTGACTATTTCGTACATAATATTATACAACATATTAAGGCACACTCTCACTACATTGAAGTTTTTAGCATCATATGCATACTTATTTCTTCACAATTATTTATATGTACAAGTGTATCTATATATTTCAAGGGTGTTACATTAAATTTTTAAGGACCAGTCATTAGTTTGACCTGATTCTTTAGATTAATCGGGTGGGGATTGGTATCCCATATGAATTTCAACGTGCCTTCAGTTTTGTGCTCTGTGCTCTGTATGGATCATACCATCAAATATTGTTTTGATAATTTTCTTATTTAGTCATCATGTTTTGCATAAATGTGTTTTTGTGAGTTTTAGGATTTTATTTATGTTACTTTCCTGTTATTACCTATTTATAAGTCAATACTAATGATTACATGTCAAAACATTCATAAAGCTCCTATAAAATTCAATGATAATATGTTTCAAACATTATATTAGACCCATTTTCATATTATAATATCTGCTTATGCTTATGTACTAAAAATATTTTATCTCAAATCTAAACGATCGCTTTAGTCATTTTTACCACTTAAGTACCAAGCTTTGTTACTCGTCATTGTATGCATATTTTCATTAAAAGGCATCATAATTTTTAAGTTTGGGATCATTTCCTAAACTTTGCTTTTCATGTTTAAAACAATCGCTTAATTGCCATTTTATAAATTTTGAATATTCTTTTTAGTCAAACTTGAAGTATTTAATGTATATGTATTCCTCCACTCTTATCAATCATTTACAAGTTTGTTTGCATCAGATAACCGATGTTTGGTCCATTTTTGAGCTATAAAAAAATTGTCCCGTTTTTAATCTTTGTTTGAGATCTGCGGATAGGAAGTGGATTAGTGGTGGAGGGTTGTAGAAATAATATTACGGAAATATACGAAAACAAACAGGAAAATAGAGAAACGCCGATGCATGTGTTTAATACATTGTCCTTAAAACAAATTTGTCCGCTACCGAGTGTTTGTTTCTCAGAATATAACAGTTTGGAGTGGTTTTTCTAGACCACCCGAACCTATATTAGGTCTGAATTTAATCATGATGCAACAAAAATACGAACCAGAGGAGAAGATGAGAGGAGTCGACTGTTATTTTTTTCTTGTCTTTTCTTCAAATGGTAGTCTTGAAGTTGTATTTATACAACAAAAGATAACTGACACATTAATGGTTGTATTGTAATCGACACAAGTGTTTAATAATATCTAATTAAATTATAATATTAATTACAACTTTAGTTACAAAAAGAAAGGAAATATTTGCAAAAATGGTCTTTGGACTTTGTCTTTTCCTTCTTCCACCCCATTAAACTCCTTTATTTACTTCGTCCAACAAGCTCACTTTATAGATTAATTTTCTCATTCATCTTATATCCATTTTGGACGTGTGATATATACCAAAACGAAGATCTCACATAGGAGAACACAACCATACAATTAATTCATTTAAATAATGGTTTAGGGTTCGAATTTCGTGTTCAAAAATAGGGAAAACTCATTTTTATAAATTGGTTAAAACCAATTTTCCAACAAGGGCCACTGACTCCACCACGGTCCAAAATAGAGGCGAGAGAGGGATGAGACAGTTTGTCAATGATGATGATCGAGAAAGAGAGGGGGAGAGATAGGGTTGTAGAGGTTGTTAGAGGCTCAGAGCTATATAGGTCCTTGGAGCTTGGAGCCGAAGTTCAAGATGAGGATAGATGGTGTTGTAGAGGGCGTTGGAGCTTAGAGATGTAGTTGCAGAGATCTTTAGAGTTGTAGAGGGTGTTTGAGCTTGGAGATGTAGCTGTAGAGATCTTTAGAGTTTTAGAGGATGGTCGAGCTTGAGGATGTAGTTGTATAGATCTTTAGAGTTGCAGAGGGTGGTTAAAGTTGATGGGTGTGTGTGTGTGTTTGTGTGTGTATTAGAGAGAGAGAGAGAGAGAACACCTTCAGGGTCCATCAATGTAACTTTTTGAAACCACAAGGACTATCCATGTTAAAAATACAATGGTAGGACCAAATATGTAAATTTGGAAAAACCACAAGGACCAAATGTGCATTTTACTCAATTTCTTAAGTTGTTGATCCTTGTTTATTCATTTCAAAATTACCGTCATCAAACAAATTCAGTTTTGAGATTTTGGCGACGCTACCGCAAAACCGCAGCCATCGCCTGAGGAAATCGAGTACATAGATCTTCCTTTTAGCCCTAATCGATTCGATGAGGAAAGATACGATACACGAGTTGTTTACTAGGAGATGACGGCGACTGAGATTCTAAGCGGAGGTGGTATTGAGTCTTTCTAGGGATTTGATGGGACGTGTTCCTGTTAATCGTCAATCAGGTAATTTCATTTCTGCGGAACCCCCTTTTCAGTACCAGTCGGGATTTATAGGGAAGAAAATCACCAATATGAAAGATAAATCAGTTAGGGCGCAGGTGGAGTTAGTTGTTAATCAAGCTAAAAAATTAGCAGTTTCCCTTTCTAGAATTCCTGATTCCAAAAGAGTTAAATTGAATGTTTCTCCTCCATTATCACCTTTGATTTTGTTCATTTGATGCTTTTGGTGTGCCTCTTCTCCTCCTGGTTTTTTGATTTGGTGAAAGGTGGAACTATGTCTTCCAGTTACAGGAAAGTAGGAAACCTAATGATAAAGGGACTTCCTAATTACTGATTAGCGATTGCAACTTTACAAAGAGACAACATAATAGCATTCTTAGGGGCTGTTTCCATTAAGATGTAGCCTCGGAATCATTAAGCATTTAGAGCGTTTGAAAAGACGAAAATCACCTCTTAGCGTTTTTTTTTTTCTTTCTAATTTTCACTCTTTGCCTTATAAAACAGGCCTCCAACAGAAATCTCCATCTGCTCAGCTTCCATTGACCGAAGCTTCTCCTTCCTCCACCAGTCCACACATCAGCTTTGAATCATCGCCGGCCACCAGAAGTTCAACCACTCCATGCAGCGACCAGAGCAACAAAAAAAATCGAGCTGTCCTCTGTCCGCTATCTCTCGGTATCTCTCTTTTCTGTCGAATGTCTTGTTTTTATGTTGAATCTCTCTCTCTCTCTCTCTCTCTCTCTCTCTCTCTCAAAAAAATTCAAGTTTTGTGAATTTCCTTGCTTATTACTTGATTTAAAAACGTTTTCATGTGATTTTTATGCCAACGTTGTGATTATTGAAGCTGATTTTGTGTTTCGTTTGCTGTTTTGGTTTTTATAGTAGTTGTTTTGTATTATTATTTCGAGCTGTTTTTGTGATAAGTGGAGCTGTTTTTATGATAATTGATGCTGTTTTTGTGTTTCTGATGCTGTTTTGGTAATCACTGATGCTGGTTTGTATCTTTGTTGCTGTTATCTGAATATTAGTGATTTTTGATGCTGTCTTGTTAATATTGAAGCTGTTTATGTTGAATATTGATGGTGTTTTTGTGGATTTTCATGCTGTTTTGTGAAGAATATATAGTTGATGGTTTTTGTTTAATGGGTGAAATTATTCTTACGAATCATGTTAGGTGTGGCACAAAGAAAACCTCCTAGAATTAATTGGAAACAAGAAAATATTGAGAAAACATTTCTAGAAGCTTGCTTACATGAAATCACCATAAATGGACGGGAAGGGAATAGCTTAAAAGTGAATTCATGGAAGAATGTAGGCCAAAGACTACAAAGAGAACATGATTTTGATGCAAATCAAAGGCAAATGAAGAATCGTTATGACTATCTGAAAGCCAAGTTTGGAGCTTGGTTGAAGTTGAGGAACAAATCAGGGAATGTATATGATCCAATAAAGAACAAGTTCAATTTAGAAGAAGAAGAATGGCAAATGGAGATTAAGGTGGTTTCTTTTATATATGAAAATTATCATTGTGTTTCTAGGATCTTTATAAATTATTCTTATATACTTGAAATATTTTTAAACAGTCGAACAAATACGTGCAAACATTGAGAACAGCTCCACTACTTTTTCCCGATCTTTGCATCCAATTGTTTGAGGAAGTAACTTTCAATGGATTTGATGGTTGTGGGCCCTCTTCTCAGCTTCCCCATGATATGGATTCACCTCAATCGCAACAACAACCCTCCACTCCAAGACTTCTGCAACAACCCCTGACTCCAAGTGATGAGTCGTCTTGTCGTTCGAAAAAACGTAAAAGCAAAGATTCGCTTGAATTAAAAATCTTAGAAATTGGGGAAGAAATTTGTAAGGTTGCAAGGTTGTTGATGAAAAACCATACTATAGATGATGATGTAGATGCGTGTATTGAAAAATTGGAGAAATTTGAATGGGGAACAGAAGATCCAAGATACAATACTGCTCTTATGCTTTTTGGAGAAAGTGAGGGTCTTAGGAAGGTTTGGTTGCGGATTAAACCGACTTCTTGTGAGAATTGGATTAGGAATGCCGGACGTAAGTATGGTTTGTTGTGAGACTTGGTATGAACAGTAGGAAAGTTTATCACCTTATGTTATTGATGTTTGTGTTACGGGTTGGAGATTTATGGATTTCTATGTTAGGTTATTTGATGTGTTATATATTGATTTAAACAAAGGAAAATTCAGTTTTCATCTTAATAGCTTGGTATCAGATATTTTATCATCAAGAAGTGTAGAAAGGATTCTAAAAAAGTTATGCAGCTGGCTTACCAAAACATAGGAGTTTTTCAATTTTTCTTTGGAAAAGCTTGAAAATGGTTTTGAATGTTGTGATAATTTCGGAAAGTTAGGAAGATTTTGAATTTGGTACTTGTTACAGGTTGTAAATGTATTCTCTTTAACGAATGTATTCAAATCAAGCATGGATAGCTAAGTAAGAAAGATTAAAACCTTCTGATCACATATCTGTTACAATCAGTATAATTGAGAAGGATCGATTCAATGCATTTATTATGTGTACTCACTCAATTGATCAATATATTCATCTATACAATTGATGAATATATTCATCTATAATAATAATATCTGGTGTGACCAATCCAAGTTTATCAGAGACACATTCAAGGGTTTACAGATTGAAAGAGAAGTCAAGATTTCACAAATCATTTTCATGCAGAAACCTAAGCGCCAAAAAATCATACATAATAAAATTTTGCTTAATTTGAGTCGAATGTAGAAAATTACCAACTGCAAAAGGTTAGATGAACTTGCAACAGATTTTAAGAAACAATATGCCCCAAAATTAAGACCTAATTTCATAGCAATTCGAATATTAGACATTATTATCAGAAAAACTGACACTCACATATGAACAAATCCAAGTTCCAAGATTTTGCTCCTTTAGTTCAGTCCAGTGATTTGGAATAACACAGTATTACCAAGGATCCGAAGAAAGAAGACTAGACTGGACAATCAATCGGAATCATCCGACGCCGCGAGGATCCGCTGAGCCTCGAGGCGTTCGACGGCTTTCTGGTGAGCCCACGTCTCTAGGGTTAGATCGGGCTTGGCGTTGAGTCCGACACCGAGGATGACGATTGTTAGGAAGCTAGTGACGTAACAAGGTAGCTCCCAGTCTTCCCACTTCCTCGACTGGCCCGGTGGAAGAGGAGTCCGATTCAGAAAGTATCCGTTAGGGCGCTCCTGGTGTCCGGGGGTGGTCCACCGGCTAGGACCGTCGCCGCCCCGCTGGCGGAGGGTTGAGGTAAGTCGTGATCGGAGCATGCCTGCGGCGGATGAGAAGGGTTTGGCGGACGGCATCTCGATGACGATAGCAATAAGAGACAGAAGGATGAGGGCTCCGTATATGGTCTGAGATCTCCACTCCGTGACGATACGACGTCGGTCCAAAACTATGGGTAATTGACAAATAAAACCCTTATAAAGTACGGTATTGACAACTACACCTTTCTAAAATACGGCATCCACAGTTACAGCCCTATAAAAATGTTATAGAATGCTCCCTCCATTTTAAAAGTAGATATCTTTAATTTTATTTTGGGATAATAACTTGAAAAAGTAACGGATTTTCGATTTTTTTCACATTTAGTTACTAAACTTTTTTTGTTATCTATTTGCCATTGAACTATTGAAACTGTTCACATTTTACCCTTATGATCGGTTCATAAGGGTAAAATGTGAATTGTTTCAATAGTTTAGTGGCAAAATAGATAACGAAAAAAAGTTTAGTGACTAAATATGAACAAAATCGAAAGTTCGTTTCCCTCTAAAAGTTCAATGACTAAATGTGAACAAACTTCCTCTTGTATTATGTTTTAGCAAATTATTTATTTTTGTTAAATTGTAGCAATATTTGTAGATGAAGAAATATACGAAATAAATATTAAAAAAAAAAAAAAAAAAAAACCCTGAAAATATATTTAAAAAAAAAACTAAAAACCAAAACCGAAATAAAAAACCAATGGTTTGATATTTTCCAAAATAAAAAATCAAAATTTCTAATCTGATTTTAGTTTTACAAAAAAATAAACCATTCTCACTAATGTGAATTATGACCATTGGTTTGACATGCAAATTTTGTGACATCCCATGAATACGTAGTTACAACAGCGTCTGAACTCGTAATTCATAGTATGGGTTAGAGTATCATCGTATGAATACATAGTTACAACATCGCCTAAACTCGTAATTCATCACCTACAGGTTATGAGCCTGCTGGTGTTTCCATTGGGTTGTTTAGAATAGTCCGTGGTTGCCATCTATACTTTGGTAGATGACTACATCACCACATTGCCGGTTAAGGTTATGGTAGCTCCTTTCATCCTACATCACCTATTCATCATCATCTATTTACCTAATTATCATCACCTTTTTATCATCACTTATCTCTCGTCATTTTATTTAATCACACACCAACTATTTCATCTACCCATGTTTTATCTGCAACATATTTGTAGATATAAAATAAATATACCGTTTAAATTTTTTTAAACATGTATAAAATCGTTCATCCAGCATAAACAAGAAGTATTCAAATAATATGCACACATAGCACGTAATTTATATAAAATACTTCATATCTATGTGTAAGATTAAAGTAACTATATATACCATAAAAATCCCATAAATGCTTCCTAACTTCAAACCCCAAGGTTTACTCTACTAAAGCGTCATATTATCGGCTCTCTGGACCTAAAAGGGTCCAGATTTCTAACTTCAAACCCCAAGGATTACTCTACTAAAGCTTCATATTCTTGGCTCTCTGGACCTAGAAGGGTCCAAATCAAACTTGCAAGAGGGGTTTGAGGCATTCAAAACCCCAAAGATGAAGTGATTCAAGCCCTAACCCCAAAATGGAATCTACATAATAGGGAATGAAAGGGGTTCATTTTTGTACATCAGAATGAAGCTCCTTGCTTGAATACCTCAGAACAATAACCTTCCTTTCTTCTCCTTTCTTGCAAAATCACACCAAAAAGCTCAAGATAACTCTTCCTCTCACTTTACACACTCAAGCTCGCTAGGGTTCTCACTTATGGGAAAGGTAGTCGCAATTGAAGGCCATAAGTGCCTTTAAATATTGCTCGGGCCCCAAAGATTTAGGGTTTCTGCCAACAGCGCGGACTCGTCGAGTCGCCTCACCGACTTGTTGAGTCCATTCATTAGTCCGAGTCATCAGTCGCGACCTTACTCGACTCAACTCGTCGAATCTCTCTTCTTAACTCAAAAGAAAAATACTTAAATTATGATACATAGAAATCCGGATGTTACATTTTTTTTTATTTCATAGATTTCTTCATCAACAAATGTTGCTACAATTAAATAAAAATAAATAATTTGCTAAAACATAATACAATAGGAAGTTTGTTCACATTTAGCCATTGAACTTTTTAGAGGGAAACAAACTTTTGATTTTGTTCACATTTAGTCACTAAATTTTTTTCGTTATCTATTTGCCACTAAACTATTAAAATGTGAACAATTTCAATAGTTTAATGGCAAATAGATAACGAAAAAAAGTTTAGCGACTAAATGTGAATAAAATCGAAAGTTCGTTACCCTTTCAAATCATTATTCCTTTTATTTTTTGTTAACTGAATTATATAATCGAACTTTTCTTGGTACCTATACTCGGTTGAGTGGATGAAGTATAATTATATGCGATTTAAGTGGAAACCAAAAGCATGTTTAAAGAAACTAAGGATATAAAATTTTGATGTTATTACAATCAATTATAAAACATAATATTTTTATAGGTTTTTCTAATACATACTCTAAAAGCACATATAAGAAATAGTAATTATGGTAATTTTTTATTAAAACTAGGATTTGGTATTAAATAACGAACTCTTTTATTTTTTTTCATATTTACCTTCCTATTATTCATATTCTAAAAATAAATATTAGTTAATTTATTTTTTTAATCTCTCGATTTTGTTGATTTTGTCCTCCACTTACCGTATATATATATATATATATATATATATATATATATATATATATATATATATATATATATATATATATATATATATATATATATATATATATATATATATATATATATATATATTTTAGTTCCTTCATAATAGACACAATAGTTATTTAAAAAACACTCGCATTTAAATTTACATGTTTCTTTTCAATAACTATAACTATCAATATTAATTAACACTTTCCAAAAAAGATTTGCTTCTTGCAAAAATAGTAGCTATTTCATTAGAGTAAATTTTTTTGTATAATATCTGTTTCTCTATCAAAACCTCTTACTGTGTCGTATACCAAATCAAACATTAATTATAAAGTTTTAATCGAGTTAATACTAACATGCAGCATGTTTGTCATTAATACATTATTACAAATAATTTTGTCAACAATCAGTATCATAATGTATTTTGAGACTTATATATATATTTCTATTATGCTCACTTATTTTAATAGACTTCAAGACATTTTTTAGTAAACCAAGGAGAGTATTAATTACGTATGTGAGATACGACATATTTTTGGTAAATTACCAAATCCTTAAACATTAGTTGTAAAATTAAAACAATATCTTCCAATATCCACCCCTATTTTAATTAAACGTACAACACTAATTAACTTGATTCCTTCCTCATGAAGAAATGGAATTTCTATGGAAATAAACCAAATACCCAAACGCCTAATTATTTTTGGAAACATTTATCCGCGGGATTTCATGAATTCAAAACTTCCTTAAAAAATCTCCATCTATAATTCCTGTATAATACCCCTCAAGCATCCCTTCTTCCGATTCACCCATTAACACCCACCATCTAGGGATGACAATGGGTACGGGTATACCGGGTTTCGTGTTCCCCATTCCCATACCCGAATCCCGATCCCGATCCCGATCCCCATACCCGACCCCATCCCCATCGGGGATTAGAAATCTATCCCCATCCCCATCCCCAATGGGTAATCGGGGATTTTTCCTCATTACAATTTTTTGAACTTTTATGAAAAATAACTCATAATTGTATATTAACTAACAAAACAAAAACTAACAGAACTAATATTAAACGTTATAATCACTGAATGTCTTCAAACACGAATAATAACATCCAATGTTATAAATTAAATCATTTTTTGCAAAAAAAGATATTAAAAGTCTTCCTAAAACTATATGTTTGATTATTAAAAAAAACTTACTTTGTCTACTGAACATTTGTTTATACATTATTAAAAATAAAAACATAAGTAACACTATATATATATATATATATATATATATATATATATATATATATATATATATATATATATATATATATATATATATCGGGTACCCTATCGGGGCCGGTTTTGGGTACGGGTATGGGTACCCGACATGGTGGCACCATCATTTTCTTCTTGTTCTTCTGCAACTTCCTCAGTTTCCATGGACTTCAT